AAGAAAGAAAGAAAGAAAGAAAGAAAGAAAGAAAGAAAGAAAGAAAGAAAGAAAGAAAGAAAGAAAGAAAGAAAGAAAGAAAGAAAGAAAGAAAGAACAACAATTTACCGAGAAACTGAGAAAGTCTAGGACGAATTCGACCTGATCATAATTCCAAAATGGCTGTGAAAAATTGCAAGTTGCAAGCAGAGTTTCCACTTGGATATTTCGGTTAGAAATATTGGACTATCTTACAAGACGTTCCGTTTATTTCGAAAATTTTCCGGTCGGTCGAGCCAAAATTGTCTTACCATTTACATTCTGACGGAAACTTTCGGAACTTTTTGGTAAATGGGTAAACAGCTTTGGACTTTCTTCACAGTTAAACTGTGCTTGTCATAACTGTTGTTGCTGTTGTTGGATTTTTTAGGTGAATCATGTCGATCTACGCGAGGCAACACATGACATGGCCATCACAGCTCTCAGACAGACTCCAGCTGTTGTTCGGCTGATTGTTCTCAGGGACGAGTCCCAGTTTAAAGATGAAGGTATGCCCGTACTCTTGGAGGCAGTAGATTGAGTAATTTGTTGGGATGTTACCCAGTTCCAAGCGCTATTGGTCCTTTGTCTCTAATCAAAGTTTTTTTCTTTACTAGAAGCCTTTGAGTACCTCACGTTAGACTTAAACAAGGTTCCTGGGCAGGGACTGGGTTTAAGTATTGTTGGAAGAAGGTAGGATAGCTCAGTTGTCATACGATGTCTGTAATTATTATTTCTAAAGCAACCGAAAGTTGTCTGGCGCTTTTACAATTGTAGATTATTTTTATTATTTTTTAATGTTCTTTTTTTATTTTTTCCTTTCTTACAGGAATGACACAGGAGTATTCGTTTCAGACGTGGTGAGTTGTGGTTAACATTACTAGGGTTAACTTAATTAATCTACCTTCTGTCTTCCCAACTAACACTCTCCAATAGAAATCGTCACTTCGAAATAGGCAGCTCTCTGTCGCCTTGTCTTGCCGACTACAATTTACCCTAGCGTGAAAAATTATCAGTCTTCCTTTAACTTTGCAAATTTATTACTGAACCCTTCGCAGCGGAAAAACGGTGAATTTGGGAAGTTTACATATTTCTTCGGAGAACTGTTGTCGCTGTTGTTTTCTTTTTTCGGTCAGACGTTTCTGCAATCCCATTTGTTAACTCCTACTCTGATTAACAGGTCAAAGGAGGCATCGCAGAGGCTGACGGTCGTCTTCTTGCTGGTGACCAGATCCTCTCGGTAAATGGCGAAGATCTCAAGAACGCTACTCAAGATATAGCTGCTGCTGTACTGAAGGTAAAATGGATCGCTCTGACTCCTTCTCTTTACTTGCCGAAGATTGAGGAGTTTACCGACACGAGATACAAGATTGAAGTTGAGAATAACTTCCTTTTGCACTGCAAACTGGGTGGGAATATTGCCGCTACTAAGGTAGCCTGACCATCAGGCTTTTTGGCTTCTCCACTCTGCGCCCCCTCCTTCCTTCCTTCTTTTCCTGCTCCCCTCACCCCTCTTAGGAAGGCCTGATACTCAGGCTACTTCTCAGGCTAATTGAAACTACGTTATGACTACAGTCAATGTTTACGAACAGAATGCTCATTTCATACACATATCGTTTTCTTTTAGCGCACCACCGGTCGTGTCATTCTTGAAGTTGCTCGCCTGAAGCACGGCACCAGTTCCCGGCCGTCCTCAATGAGCAGTTTGCCCAACATATATCCTGGGACCGAATCAATGAGCAGCATGGAAAATATCTCGGTCCATGTGCCACTCGGTTAGTACACTGAAACATGATTCATCGACTGGATTTTTTTTTGTTTTGTTTTCTTTTACTGGCGACACTTTTAGTTACAGAAGATTATTTCACGATTACCACATTTGTTTAGTCATCATCCAACTGAAATATTATGGATAAGGTTCGTTGTAGATGACTATTGCTAATTAATCTGAATTCGTTTAGAAAGCAATTCAAAGATAACTACGCTCAGCTTGTATTACAAACTCGCAGTAATTTTTATTTCCATCCTTACTTTAGACCCAGAACAACCGGAAGTTGGTCCCGATCCCTCATCCGTTAACAGTCTTCCTCCGACAGGTTTCTCTCCGACTTCCTCCATGGCGCAGGAAAATGTTGAATTTGTTCAGTCCGATGAAGAAGGAGATGAGGCGTAAGTAAACTACACAGATTTTTTTTTATCGCCACTAACAGATTTCAGTTCTCAAATAGCTCTCCAAATATTGCTTAAGCCAACACGAAGTTTTCAAAACATTTCCGAAGTTTTCCGAAGTCCATCCGAAGATTTTTACGAAGATTTCAGAAAATTACTGAAGGTTTCCGAAGCCCATCCGAGATTTTTGAAAATGATCCGAAGATTTCCAGAAACTAGTTCAAAGCGTTGGTGTGACTTTCATCCCAATTGAAGGTTGTTAGTTTTCGTGATATTTGACAAACAGGCTTAGTCGGTTGTCGAATTTCAAAATGCGTTACCACTGCATTTAAATCAGTGGTGAAACTTTTACTTGTTTTCTTTCAGACCTCTTGAACCGAAAATTATCGAGCTAGAACGAGGACCCGAGGGCCTGGGATTCAGTATCGTGGGCGGGCATGGGAGTCCCCATGGCGACCTGCCAATCTACGTCAAAACTGTCTTCCCGACTGGCGCTGCGGCCCGTGATGGACGACTGAAACGTGGTGATCAGATTATAGCTGTGAATGGAGAGAGCCTCGTGGGAGTCGCGCACGAGTCTGCAGTGTCTATGTTGAAGAGAACCAAGGGAAGAATTATTCTTACAGTGCTTTCATAAAGTCATTGGAATTCAACAGGGAGTGCAATCTGTGTTGCAAAGCGACAGTGACTGCATGGGCACCATGTGCTTATTTCGCCGTCAAAAGCCTCGGTGCAAACAAATTGTGTTAATTCATATAGCCAGCGAAACAAATCTGTTTTAAGTTAATATGATGCTGTTTTTCATTCTTTCGAAATAGCGACAACTTTGTTGGCGTTTTCGTTATCATTGAAGATTTCGGTTTTGTAATGTACCTGTAGAATTGTAAAGGATCTGTTGTCATGTCATGAATTATACCCCCACTGGTTTAATAGTAAAAAGGCTTTGCGTAAGGAAGCCAAGAGCGCGATTTTAGGTTTTTGTATTATTTTATACTATAATTGGAGTTAATTCAATAGCCAGTTGACTATTTTACCAGTAAACTAATTGGAAATTATATAGATTAAAAGAAGCCACACACGCTTTTTGCGGGCTGAACCACCTCTTTTGATGTTGTAGGAACACTCAAAAGGCTTGCAATCGTTTCTTTATCCCATAAAACGTAAGTGGTTGATGAAACATTGATTCATTTAGGAACGTGCTAATCGTTGATTCCCAGTGGAAATAACAAATCACGAATTTGTACTGCCAAGAGAGTAAAAAGCAATTTATTAAAAAAAAAGTTTCTCAAACATTGTACATGAGTTGCAGTTGGTCTTAAGTAAGACATTTCGAGGGAGCAAGGGAAGTTGTTCCAGACACTCGGGTCACGTGACTCTTGGAGAGGGATTCAAACCTGGTTCAGCTAAAAAACGACCACTACCTCATTCCCACTCATACTCATGCCTTTCCCACAAAAAAGGTTTTGTCCCGGTCACCGGGCTGGAGTGTTCTATGGGAAAATTCTCATCTCGGTTACCGGGCCAGCCCGGCTTCTCATGTGAACACATCGGAAATTTTACGAAGGAAAGAGTGGATGGGTGAGATCTCGGAAAGAGAGCCAGCCCGGTTGGGCTCACGTGAAGGGGCCCTATCAGGAAAGAATCAGTAGACACAAAGGAAATATAATGAAAAATGTTTATTTCTGATTTAACAACAACTACTGAAATATAATTGTTTCTTATATCTCTTTCAAAGCAAAACGTCATGCGACATAAGGCATACAATGGAATGAATATTTTAACTGGAAAAATATCGGGTTTTTTTACATAACTTTTTTTTTTTTGAGTTACAATAAATTTAATACAAAACTCTTTACTCCTTACCCCAATTAACGCCGACCAGACAAGATTTTTTATCAAACCTTGGATTCTCTTCAAGGTTGGGGCATATTATTTCATTTCATAACTTCTAAGGCAGAAATTTGTGTCCTCACCAGAGGTTGATGTTAACCGCTCAAACATCTCAATATTAGCTCATATTATAACACCTTTACCGATCACCTTTAGTTTTATTTTCCCTTTAATAATTTTAAAAAAATCAAATGGCACTGCTATGCACATAATGACGTTAATCTTGGTCTGTACTCGCGATCTTTCAATGTTTTTTCTTCCTTCGTCTCTTCTGTGGCTTGCTTGCTCCTTGAAATCTTTCCCTCTCCGGTGGAAACTGTCCGAAAAATGCGCGCATGAAATTCTCAAAATCTCTCTCCTCCGATCTGAAATAGGAAACAGATACTGTTGTTTTCACGTTTTGCCGTAACTTGTAAAAAGAAAAGAAGCATACCGAAGACGAGGAAAGAAAGGAAGAGAAGAACGTAGCGATGGTAAAAAACAATGCAAGGACATTTATTTCTACTGCTAGACCTACCGTCCACACTAATCCGTCACGAAAACGGAGCTCTTCAAACTGGAGGATTTGAAAAACGCCGGCTTTGCGTTTTAGCGTGGAAAACATTTTAAAAACGGAGCTTTTCAAAAACGATGACCTCACGATGTATGTGTAATTTCCCTGGCGGAGTTTTCGTCGAACACAAATCCAAAATGACCGGTGATTGTTGCGTTTTCAAATTTCTTCGGCGTAGTGTGGACGGAAAACATTTGATCCGTTTTCAGAGTGAAAACGCCGTTTACAAATTCCTCCGGTTCAATGTGGACGGGGTGTAAGAGAATGCCTGACCTGGAACTAAAGCCACTAGGATGTGACTGGCGAGTCTTGAGTTTCAGATGCACTGTATGAGGATTAGGCTCAACACGATAACTGCCAATACCCTGAAAATGAATAAACCAAGGATATCATCACCTACTGATATTAAACAACTGCTATTAGACTTGACCACGAGTCGAGCTGCGAAAACCGAGCTCGGAAAGCGCAAGATTTGCAAGGGTTTCACTAGGTAAGGGCCGGCCGGGTACCGCGCAAATTGACCTGCTTTGAGGATAATTTTTCCCGCCTGGTTTGAGCATCCAAAGGAATATTTTTCTTACAAAGAAGTTCAGATCAAAATCTTGTTTTGCTCGCCCATGAATACCAGTTGTCCCTCTGCAGAAAATTTTAATAAAAATCCCTGGATATGCGACGCTAAAAACTTGAGTAAGAAAAGCGCGAGGTACAGGAGCGCACCAACAACCGCGAAAGACTGAGAGCAAGTCTAAACTAGTATGTACCACGTGCATGAAACCACACCTGGCAAGCTGCCCACTCCGTGACATCAAACACTTCACCCTCCATACAGGCATAAAAATGCAGCTTATAGCCAAGAAAACTACTCTCTGCCCACAGATCTCCCTGAAGAATAAAACCACACATAAAACATAAACAGAAACCGAATCAGATAGTACCGACCTCAATAAATATGCGATATTTCAGGAGTTTCTTCCGTGATAGGGCACCTTAAAAATATTCACCTGTTAGTGAATTTTTTCGAGTTAAACTTTCGTAAATCCGTCTCAGTGATAATGGTTCCCAGTCTTTACCATCTAGTATCTTTTGGGGTCACTTCAGTACCTCCTCTTTGGTGCCTTTTCGACTCTGTGAAGAACATTCTCGAGAATGCTCTTGATTAAAAGGTCATTTGATACATCACTGAATACAATGTGCTAACGCAAAATGAGATATAAATGTAGATTCTCTAACTTCAAAAAAACTCCACAAAACCAGGGTACAAAGGAAACCAATTTTAGGCATCTGATATACTAGCTTGAAAGTCATACCCACTTATTGACTAGGTCTCACAAAAATGTCATATATTATGGTACTTCTGTAACCTGAATTTCCTTTAAAAATTCTTAACAAAATATAATAGCCAAGCTGAAAAATCCCCTAGCCTTGGACTATCGGATTCCTTTCTTTGCACGCTGATAACGGCAAGCGTCACTACCCCCGGGTTTATCACAGACTTCAATGTGAACCTAAAATTAAGAAACTTTCTGTCGCCCGGTTTACGATATTTTCAGAGCCATTTATCGACGGCGTTGTATTAGGTGCAGAAAGATACTCATGAAAAACGCAACATAAGACCAAAATGGTTTCTATGACTCTGTAAGTAGAGGCAGTTACTGTCCACATACCTCTTTTGCAGCGTGTCTCGTGTTACACCGACCGCAAAACCGTGCGGTCAGAACAAACCGGTCTGTGCTGTAACGACGATGTTTTCCATCACACGTATTGCAGTGCAAGTAATTCTGCATCTGTGTGTAAACAACAACAAACAATGTAGCCAGTGCAATATAAGAAGAGAATAACCGCGCCTGAAAAAACCCGAAAATAACTGCTCCCATTGTCCCTATTTCAGGTCACAACACAAAAACAGGAAACAGAAAACGTACCTTAACTTTTTTTCGAAAGTTTCCCCACTCTTTGAAGGGAAATTTTCTGACGTTATTCAGTTGATTTCGGTTATATTCTGCACCATTATTCAAATCTTGAATCTTTTAAAACCTTTTAGATACTCAAAAGCTGTTCCTCAAAAAATGAAGATAGGCGGCAAAACTGTTGCAACGTCGCCGAAACAAAATGGTCACTTGAGAAATTCCCGATTAAGAAGCGATGCGTCAAAAATTCCAACTCTTTTTAGTGGGAGGCTGATTCTAATACTAGTTTATTACAATGAACAGCAAGATCTGTGAGTGACATAAAAAATTACGTCTCCAGCCTGAGGTGTCAGAGTGGAACTGGGAAAACTTGAATCCGAGTCAACTGGATATTTCAAGTGTACTATTCAGGACTCGATACATGCAAATCAATGCATTGCTCACTGGTACAACTATATATGCCCAATAGGGCACTTGTTACAGAAAAACAGAAGATGCTATAAATAAAAAATAGACTGGAATAAAAGTGCTACATATAGGTGGTAATTACCTCTTGCATCTTTCGTCCTAGATCGGCAAAAAATTGCTCAGGACTAGCAGGGCCGAAACGTCCCTCCTGAAATATTTAACACAAAATAGGGAATGAATACAAGACAATAACGTGCTTTCAGTCAGTTTCAGTGTAAGGAGAGTTAATTTTCTTGGAATGATGTTACAGGCAGCTCTTCAACTTACCCTCTCCTCTGCTCTTCTTTTCCAAGCTTCTTCAGCATCAAAATTAGAACGCTTCTCCTGTTTATGAATAAACAAATGTTGCATGGTCATTAAGTCTAAAAACAAATCATCACAACTTAAACAGCAATGATATAAAATTTATACACTTAACTGAAGGGTGCCAAATCTTATTCTCATTCCCCCAGCGACTAAAATTGATTCACAGTAATAAGAAATGAGAAATAAAATAAGAGATCCATATAACATTAATTACACTTACTGGATCACTCAGAATGTCAAAGGCATTCGCAAGAGTCTTGAAAGCTTCATCCGCTTGAGGATGAGTGTTCTACAGAGAAAAAAAGCAGAGATAATGAAGAACTATAGAACAGCACAAAATAAACAATGCCTTGACTCAGGCTAGGAATGAAGTCTTTCCTTTAATCCCAGGAGCCATACAGTGCAACAGTGCAAGCTTGAAGTTGTAACCAGTTTTTGCCACAGGAATGCATAATATTTATCATTATTACACCAATTTTCGACATTTGTCTTGGCAATTGACAAGTTAAATCAGCTTAACATAGTACCTTGTCTGGATGGATCAAGACAGCAAGCTTCCTGTACTGCTTTCTTATGTCATCATCTGTCGCATCTCTTGGCACTCCAAGAACACTGCATGAACAATGAAACACATTGAAAGGCAGACCTTACTACATGCGTTTTGAGCCAAAAGCATGTTTCAGGCAGTAAACAGACAGTCGAAAGCTTGTGTTTTTGTATACATTGTACTTTTAGCCAGAGAACGCTTTTGTATTTTACCATAAATGTGAATGTAAATTGGTAAATGTAATCTTACTTTTGTTTTTTTTTGTTCATGATTTAATGACTTTGATACTGTGGCATACAGTACTAACCTGTAGGGATCGTTGTCTTTGTTTTGAAGCATATGCAAAACTGCTGCATCTCCTGATTTCAATGAAAAACATACAGGTAATCAACTTTTTTAAAGACAACTGTACTATGATCATGCAACAATACTTTGATTCTGCCCATTTAGCATCCTCGGAGACCCAGTTTGCTAGTCAGGAGACACGATATTTTCAGGCCACACAATATTTTTGGGCAAAAGTACTTGAATGCTTCTGTAACTGGTTAAGTAAGAGTACAATGTAACTACTGGTACCCAGGGGCTCTCCCACTCGAAAATATTGCACTGCCCAAAAATATCATTTCGTACCAACTAGCTGCCCCTGAGTCTCCAAGGATGCCCATTTACTGTACAATGAAGGAAAAAAATCAAATAACAAATTACCATTCTTCGGCAGATCATAGGTTTGACCTTCACCAGACACCTTTCTTCTTTCTCTTCTCTTTTTGACCCACTCATTCACAGCTGATAATTTGTTTTTAACATAAGCCAGCCATCTGTCAATTGCAACATAGTGCAGCACCTTCTTGCAGCACCAGCACAAAGCAAACCAAACACTTGATAGGAGTAAAACAAGCACTTGTAAGTACGCATTTATCAAAACTTACTAAACAGTAATTAAAACTCATATAGCGCAATTTTCCATGATCGAATGCGCTTTACAATAATTATTAGAAAAAATGATTAAAAATAAATAAAATATACAACTAATTAAGACTGATAATATCACATGGTGAACAATAGCAAATTATAACAAATTAGAAGCCTGTTTAAAAAGACATGCTAAAAACTTGAAAAAGAGTCAAAACTGGATATGCTACTCGGTAGATTGTTCCAAAGCTTCGGGGCTGCATAAAAGAATGCTCTTCCTCCAAAAGTATTCATGACCTCTCGCAATAAGTATTTGTATTCATGACTTCTCGCTGTAAGTATTTGTATTCATGACCTCTTGCAGTAAGTATTTGTATTCATGACTTCTCGCTGTAAGTATTTGTATTCATGACTTCTCGCTGTAAGTATTTGTATTCATGACCTCTCACTGTAAGTATTTGTATTCATGAGCTCTCACTGTAAGTATTTGTATTCATGAGCTCTCGCTGGTATTTCACTGCATGAAGTAAAAGGCCCCATCCACACTACAACGGAGGTTTTATTTCTACAGTTAGGCCTTCTGTCCACACTAGTCATGAAAACTGAGCATTTCAAAATTGCTTCTTAAACTGGAGGAATTTGAAAACGCCTGCTTTTCAGTTTATTGTGGGCAGGAAACATTTTAAAACAGAGATTTTCAAAAAAGATGGCATCACAATAATCATATGATTTCCCTGGTCGAGTTTTCCTCAAAAATGAATCCAAAATAACCAGTGATTGTTGCATTTTTAAATTCCTCCAGCATAGTGTGGTTGGAAACATTTGATGCATTTTCAGAATGAAACCTCTGTTTTCAAATTCCTCCAGCAGCGTGGACAGGGCCTAAGGTTTCTTGTTTTTAAAAGTGTTTTTCTCTTTTCAAAGAATAAACTGTTTGCCATTTTGTTTGTTAGCTGGTTGGTTTATTGATTTCAACCAAACACAGTTGAAAACAAACTTAAGTAACTTCCCAAAACAACATTACTTACCAGTAAATGAAAAAGCCACAGAGCAAAACCAGAAGAACCAGTACATAGTAAATGACGGACTTGAAAGCTTGACCACATTTGCTCAACACTGATACACCTGCCGAACACCACATATTATTAACGTTGTTAGTAAATAAATCCATTGCTAAGCCTATGCCAAACAGATTCACAATTAGGGTTACAAGAGTCGTCGCTGTATACAAAAATTTGAGCCCATTACACTGTATAAACAGTTCGGTGATTTTCATAGTACACAGTTTATTTTAACAAAATTTATTAAGCCAGATCATACATGTATGTTCTAAAAAGCAAATTGTCAAACAATACCTGTGCAGTAGAGGCTATAAAATAGCTTGGTGAAATCAAGCTCTGCTTGAGCAGTTCCCTCAGCCCTCTGTTTATGACTTGGTTTCTCTTTTGCATCTGATGCTGGCATTGTTCTGGTAGTACCTTCATCTTTCACTCTATCACTGACTCTTGATTTAATACCAACCTTAGGTTTTGCTTGTCTGTGTGAATCAATCCTGCTTGATGTTCCATCTTTTGAAGTCTTTACATGTTCAGTCTTAACTGAAGCTTGAGGTTTCCTTCTGACTTTTTCATCAACTCTTGATTTTGACTTGAAACTTGTCTGTTGAAATCTTTCCTTGCCAAATGACTTCTTGCCTTTTTTCACACTTTCTTCATTAAATGAGCTTTTTGCTGTCTCAGGGTCAACAGAAGTGCTCATCTCATTGTTCACCTTGTGACTTAAATGTTCCTTGGGATTCTGGTTGCCATTATGCACACAACTGTTTGTACTACACTCTCTATCTTCTGTAACATTCTGTTCTGATCTCACTTTCTGCAGTTCCTTAGCTGTGTTGGAAGAAACATTAGAATCATGACAATTATGTTTGGTGGTAGGATCTGGATATAACTCTGCAGAACTCTTTTTTGATTTCTCTTTCTCTGTTCCGATATCTGTCTTCCTACTCTTAACCTTTCCATTGCCAAAGTAATTTTGAAGATTTTGATAAAATTCTTGTTGAGATGATGAAAGAGATGGCTTTGGTGATTGTTCTTCAGAAAATCCTTTATTCTGTTTGTTACAAGTACAGTGAGGATTGCTTGGGCTTGAAACACAAGCACCATTCACAAAATGAACCCTGGTCTTTGAGGGAACACGAGGGAGATTGCTTCCTTCCTTTGTGTGCCCACACTTTGAACAGACTTTACTGTTGTCCTTAGAGGAAAGTTTGTCAGAACTTGACCGATCTGTCTTCAGGTGATCCCTGTGCTTAACATCACCAGTTTCATCTAGTTCAATCGAACTATCAGAATATTGATGAGTTGTGGGTATGTTCTGATGCAAAATGTCTGACCTAGTAAAAGGTACTTCTTCTCTTAACCCACTTTGCAATAAATCATAGTATTTTGCCCAGTCATCTATTGCAGATTCGCGTGCCATGCACAACTCATCAATGAATCTTGTTTCTAGATTTTCATCTTGATTATCACTGTAGGTGTAAACTCCTTCAGGATATTCACCATTTTTATAACCAAAATGATCAGCTGAAACATCAACACGGTCATCAAGGTCATGGTCAGAGAAGCTGCCATTGTCATGCACAGCCTCCTGTGAACTAATGGGCGTTTTGACTGTTGAACAAAATGAGCCATCAGCTTCTTCCAGTACTTGGAGTTTAGGACTTTGACTCTCAGTGCAATTATCATTTATTGGTGGGAGGTCTATCTCACTTAAACCATCTATTGGGCTGCTATCAGGTTTTCTCTTCTTGTAACTGCTATTCACAAAGGATGTCCAAGGATGTTCAATGGTAGCTTGTTCACTAGGATCACTATAGTAACTAGAGGAAACAGCTGGAGACCATGGAGTTTTAACACCTGGATTCTCTTTCACTTCTGCTTTTTTTACATTCCATTCATTGGAGGAATTCTTCTTTTTTTCATTACCAATGCCAGACTTTGCTCGAGTAATACTGGCGTAGCTTAATCCTTGTTTGTCTTTCTGTAGATGACGTGAGTAACATTCTGCATTCATCTGAAAGAGAGCCAGTGTTTCCTTGTAGATTTCAGCTTGTGGATTGAGCTGGATGGCCTGTAGTGTATCAAAAGGAAGTACAGTGTAGAATAAATCTTTATGAACCCAGATATGCTACAGCTTCAACAGGTCATTACATCATCATCATCATCATCATCATCATCATCATCATCATAATAATAATAATACATGTAATAATAAACATGTCACAGTTACAAACCTTTTCCAATAACTTGATGGCTTCTGGGATCTTGCAGCAATCCACCAAAAGAAGAGCCTGCTCGTAAAACTTTGCAGCTCTATCACTGTGTATAGAAAAACATACAATCTCATCAAGACCATTGTAACAATTAAGCAACAAGAGAATGAATGCTGGTACAGGATCTGTCAGAACATTTTCATATACATGTAGATGATGACAAATTGTAATGAGAGGCATTAGTGCTTCATGACATCCAGTATATGAACTTTGATATTTGACAGTTCTGGCAAGTTACTAAGTTCTGTAAATATTGGGCCTTGTGAGTGTGTGATAGTTGCTGCAGTGTGCAAAGGTCTTTGTGTGGAGTTGAACAGAATAAAAGAGGCCAAAGTTTAATGTCTACAAATTTCAAGTCAGTATTCTTGCGAAAAAAATTGAACCCCTCAATTGCAAACTTCAAAGTTTCCCACAACAAAAAAAAGCTAGGGGGTCAAATCTATCCCTGAAGGGATGCAGATGAAAAAATGAGAATGTCCCAGACCCCATTGTACATGCAAAATTTTGAAAATACAGTCACTGGGTCTTTGTTGATTGAATAAAAGTTACAAAAGCCCAGCTTTTTAAACCCAAGAGGATTAACCTTCCTCAGCAAATTATAGTTTATGTTATTTCCTGTATTTCGTTTTCTCTAAAGATTCCCATAGATCCATGCACACTCAAGCTCGGACTAACACGCAAATGAAACAAAAACAATTTCTACCATCAGGAAGATGAACAGGAAAGAACGCTTTAAGACTAGCAACAACACACTGACAAATGAACAAAGCAGAAAAATGTGGTGATCTCAAGGATCACTAAGCTTACTTATCGCAACCAAAGTTTCGTCATGGATAAAGTTACCTAAATTATGTCGTGTCTATTCAGTTTAAGTATTGGTTGACCTTAAAAATAGTGCTGTCAGTCGGTGAACTAAACTAGAAGAGGTTCTGAAAACAAGTTCCACTGTCAGGAAAACGTAATCAAGGAAAAACAACAAAATAGAAGGACATTTCAAATCAAAATCAAAATAGCGAACTCTCTAAATAAATCACAACTGCCACCTCGAAACAAGCACAACATGACCTTCGTTACCTTCCTCCACCGATTGGAAGCCTTCCAGCAGTATCCATAATCTGCTAATGCAATCCTTTGGACTACCTCACTTCGCAGAAACAAAGGATGCTTTCATTTTCGAGTGAAAAAGTCAAAAATCGAAATCCTTTCCAGACATACCTTACGCGAAAGAATGGTCGGTCGACCACACGAAACGGAGGCGAAAATATCCGTGACGTATATGCACAGCGGACTTGTCCATTTGGCGGGAAACATATTACCAGTTCTCCGCGGTCAAGTTCAGAAACGAGGCTATCCCTAGTCTCCTGGTCAGACGACACGTGTATTCAACATGGCGGCCTTTCAGTGCATGTCTCGTGTAAAATATTTTTCTTTAGTTTTTCTTCTGCTTCGTCTTTTTAGCTCATATGTTGCTTCCGCGTCAAGCATTAGGGGAGTTGCAGTTACTAGTAAGTAATTCTCTTCTCATTACATTTTTTTCCGTTAAATTTGTGCGTTCAATCTTTGGTGCGTCAATATCGAAAATGGAGAGGAATTTTCAGACGTCACCGGGCATTTTAATAATTTTACATAGATACTTAATTTACATTGTTTACCGTAATTTTTGACGGGATTTGTTTTGCTTATGAAATGACATGAATAATTGTGATCTTTCAAGTATCGAATTGTTCAATTTTAGATCTGTTAGAGATAATCTTGATCTAACAGAAACATGCAGACACATGTAGCTGTGCATTATAAAGCTCAGCTTAGATTTCTTGCAGATTACCCGGTCACTTTACAAACACTTCACCTGCATGTATTAAATCCTCAGCTCAGTTAAATTAGCATTAGACCCAGAAATCCCTATCAAAAGGGTCAGGGATCTTTGCTGTATCGCAAAGGGTTCTAATGATTGCAGATTATGTCATCAGTTAGAGTGTTCGGGGTGCTATACCATCATTTTCAGCTGTCAAGTTGTCATTAAGGGTAGTATGCAAAGAAAGAAAATTGGCCCAGACCAATCAGGCATGAATAATTTTGTTGTAAAAAATTGCCCACTACAGACAAACATCTTCACTACTTTCATGATCACCTGGGAGTGTCACTCTCCTGCTACCCCTGGTGCAGTGCAGTTACATGTATTTTAACACTGTGATGTAAAAGTTCCTCGCGGGGNGGGGGGGGGGTGGTAGGGAGGCATGAATTTTTTTTTCTCACTTTCAGGTTGTGCATGGTTCTTCGGTGGGCAATAGCTTGTGCAAGAAATTTTTTAAAATAATACACAGGACCTTGATAGTAGAAATCACTTGCTCAATTTTTTCCCCATGGCTCCCCTTGCACATTTTTTCCTCAGTAGTTTTTACTGTGAAGGAATTTTTATTTGGAAATTGCTTTAATCCCTGCTCTCCCAAAAAAATATCAAACATATGACCAGGGGTAATCCTAGAAAAAAATACCAACAGATTTGAAGTTATATAATAATGTAATGAAAATATATAATAATGATTGGTCCCTTACAGCTATAAAAATCTGACGTCTTTTTGGCATCTTTTTTTTCAAATGATGGGTTCCCTTGATCAGACCAGTCTATCTCAGAAACTTAGAAGTGGAATGTTTATTGCGTGACTTTAAGGTCGGCATACATGAGGGGAGTAGTCCTTGCAACCAGTCCCCTGAGGAGTTTATACGAAGGGACTGGTTGCACGGACTTGTCCCACAAACAGTTAACACAAAGTGTTTTGAAGATCAAGTCATAGGGACTTGTCCCAAAAATTCAAACCAGTTTGAATTTGTGGGACTAGTCAAAGGGACCAAAATTTTAGTCCCTGCGACTGGATTTTGTGGCAAAAATGGGTAGCTCACGTGATGGANGGGGGGGGGGGGGTGGTAGGGAGGCATGAATTTTTTTTTCTCACTTTCAGGTTGTGCATGGTTCTTCGGTGGGCAATAGCTTGTGCAAGAAATTTTTTAAAATAATACACAGGACCTTGATAGTAGAAATCACTTGCTCAATTTTTTCCCCATGGCTCCCCTTGCACATTTTTTCCTCAGTAGTTTTTACTGTGAAGGAATTTTTATTTGGAAATTGCTTTAATCCCTGCTCTCCCAAAAAAATATCAAACATATGACCAGGGGTAATCCTAGAAAAAAATACCAACAGATTTGAAGTTATATAATAATGTAATGAAAATATATAATAATGATTGGTCCCTTACAGCTAAAAAAATCTGATGTCTTTTTGGCATCTTTTTTTAAAATGATGAGTTCCCTTGATCAGACCAATCTGTCTCAGAAACTTAGAAGTGGAGTGTTTACTGCATGACTTTAAGGTATAAGGTACTACCCTTACCATAAATTAGGGAACTAGTCCTTGCAACTAGTCCCCTGCGGAGTTTATATGAAGGGACTGGTCGCAAGGACTTGTCCCACAAACAGTTAACACAAAGTGTTTTGAAGATCAAGTCGCAGGGACTTGTCCCAAAAATTCAAACCAGTTTGAATTTGTGGGACTAGTCAAAGGGACCAAAATTTTAGTCCCTGCGATTGGATTTTGTGGCAAAAATGGGTAGCTCACGTGATGGAACTTGTCCCCACAACTTGTTGCAAGGACTAGTTGCAGGGAGTAGTGCCCTTGTGTGTGCCGACCTTTACTTACGTACACATCTGAGATATTAATAAGAGCGAGTAGCTGAATAGTTATGATCATTCACAGCCTAATAACATTTTTGTTTTGCTTTTGCAGTGTTACCATTTTATGATCCTGCTAAAGACTTCACTTGTTTAGATGGCTCCCTCTCTGTTCCTTTTAGTAGCGTAAATGATGATTATTGTGATTGCGCTGATGGTACTGATGAACCAGGTACTGTGTTTGAAATTAACCACTAATCAACAACTTTTCTTAACTCTTTATATTATAGAATCATATAAACCTAATAAATGAAAATGAGGGATAATCAAATTTGATTTATTTTTTGATTAAAGCCACAAAATGGTATACTTAAAACACTTGTAAGTACTCTCAATATTGACATTTCTTGTTGATAGTCCTTTTCACAGTTGCTTTTCTTATTTTCTTACTTATCATAAAGATCAATGTGGATGGGAGGCAATTTCAGGCAGAAACTATAGAATTGCCCAAAATTGCCTGATGTTCATGTTATTAAGATACAAGTAAGAAAAAATAACCATGAAATGAGATGTTTGAATTTAGCACTGTTTCTGGTAGTGTGTACAAATTAGCTTGTAATAGGAAGTGGGGAAGATGTCCAATAATAGGGGACTTCAGATTTGAATATGAGTATGAGATCGAGTACAAGAACAACTTTCAGTATTCTAGTTTGTGCAGACTCCATATTGTTATGTCACATACATTACCCATCTCCACATAAAACCAACATGAAGGGCTAAGGCTCTGAAAACGTCACTGGTTTGAAATTTGAAAACTGTATTTATGCTCTTATCTTGTGCTCATAGTCCAATATAAAGGTACCTAATTTAAACCACAAACATGTGCTAGTACTAATAACAGTACATTGTGCTAATAACTTTTTTTCAGGAACATCAGCCTGCTCTGATGGAAAATATCATTGTACAAATGCTGGTTTTAGACCTTTGAATATTCCCTCTTCTAGAGTCAATGATGGTATATGTGGTATGTACATAATATATTTTTTTCTTCATATCTAAATGTATGTAGTGTACAGTATTTGTGCAGTTAACATTTCCCACTTTCTCTTCATTTAGTTACAAACTTTGCATTATTTCCATTGTTGATATTTGAGGGATATAGTGAGGATATAATCAACGC